GTGGGAAAGCCACCCCTTTCTGGGAGCATGATCCATGATCAGGGGGCTTTGAGGCCTGTGGGAAAGCCACCCCTTTCTGGGAGCATGATCCATGATCAGGGGGCCTTGAGGCCTGTGGGAAAGCCACCCCTTTCTGCTGCTTTCTGGGAGCATGATCCATGATCAGGGGGCCTTGAGGCCTGTGGGAAAGCCACCCCTTTCTGCTCCTTTCTGGGAGCATGATCCATGATCAGGGGGCCTTGAGGCCTGTGGGAAAGCCACCCCTTTCTGCTCCTTTCTGGGAGCATGATCCATGATCAGGGGGCCTTGAGGCCTGTGGGAAAGCCACCCCTTTCTGCTCCTTTCTGGGAGCATGATCCATGATCAGGGGGCCTTGAGGCCTGTGGGAAAGCCACCCCTTTCTGCTGCTTTCTGGGAGCATGATCCATGATCAGGGGGCCTTGAGGCCTGTGGGAAAGCCACCCCTTTCTGCTGCTTTCTGGGAGCATGATCCATGATCAGGGGGCCTTGAGGCTTGTGGGAAAGCCACCCCTTTCTGCTGCTTTCTGGGAGCATGATCCATGCCTGTAGTTCAACTTCCATGTGATGGTTTGGCTAAAGGCAGTTCAGTAATGTGGGCAGATGGGTTTTGCTGTTTTTTCACCATTTTCACTGAACAGTAGCAGTGATGCTTCTGGCTTGGCATGCCATTAGACAACGAAGGGTGTGCCTGTGTCTGTCCAGCTGTTGTTGAGCTGGAGGCTAAAAATAATCCCCTTTTTTTCACCTCCAAAACAGAAAGGCAGAAATGAGGAAATCTTGGATTCCTGGAGTTATTGAAGCTTCTGTCTTCATCCCAAGGATATACAGGGAGTGGATCATCATTTAACACCCCCTTATTTTCCAAGACGAGCTTAATATTTGGGTACCTTGGGCAGGAGAGGAGTGAGGGGTTTAGAGTGGGATAATGCACTGGGCCACAACAGGATTTGTGTGCTCTTAGCTATGCCAAGAGATGCTGTTTGTTGCATCTCCCACCCCCATGCAACTACCAACTGGTAGATTCCTTGAGCATTTAAATGCTGAGAGCTAATGTTTTTTTAATTTTTCAAGGTCAATGAATAGATTCAGCCTTTCAGTTATAGTGGATGAGATTTTTGTGACTAGGTTCTTGTGGAGTGTTATTTTGAGGTAGGGTTTTTTTTGAGTTTTTTGTTGGTGTTGTGGGGATTGTTTGTTTGTTGGTTTGGGGTTTTTTTGGTTTGTTGTTTGTTTGGGTGTTTTTTGTTAAACACAGTGGTGGTGTTCAGCTGTTTAACTGCATATGGTTTTTCCACAAGGGGATGCAGGTGCCTGGATTCACAGGCTGCTGATTTAATAGCAGGGGACAGGAGGGATTGCAAGAGGCCTCTATTGTATCCCTCTCCCTTCCCTCCTATTTTGACTCATATATTTGTACATTACCTAGAGGAGATCATAGGAAAATCCTGTGCCTGGCACAGAAGCCATTCGCTATTGGAGAGGTGACTTGTGCTGCCATTTAGCTCAGCACTGGGAATATTTCCTGGAGATTTTCAAGGCACTGCTATTCCTAAACACAGAGAGAGAAAGTAGCCTCTCTTACCAACAGACTGACCCTTGAGTGGAATCAAGCTTATGAGACTTACCAAATGCTGTGTGTGTTTATATTAGTAAATATAAGTGAAAATTTCTGATACATTTAAATTGCACAAGGAAGAAATCAGTGAAGTTCTGTTCTATTTCTGTCTGAAATAATGCATTGTGTTCTGCACTTGGTTGTAGTGTGGGACAAGATTTATACAGAAACAATCATCTTTCAGGGAAGAGTACAATACCTTTTAACAGTATCATAGAAACAGACTATTTACTCAGCAAGTTGAATAAACAACTTTTATAAAATATTCATGGGCTTATTAGTGTTTTATTGTGAAGTGCAAAAATGTCCATGCTTTACTTATTAAGTATGAATTTAAGCTGAAATAGTCCTAAGTTAGTCACTAGGCAATTATTACTGGCCTGGAAACTTACATTAGTTTCATTCAATGGGAATTTTGTAACCCATATTCTTTCTGTAATTTTGCCTTAACATAGGTGCTGTTCTTGGGAAATATGTTAAATTCAATGAAGCTTCTCTTTTGACAGAAAATATTCATGCACATCTGCAGGCAGAAGATCAGCCATTTGCACCAGGAGGTTTTCACCAAGAAAAATGTCTTCTCTCAGTATTATTATCTCAGTGGTAAAACAAGATGTAACATCCAACATGATACTGATCCTTCAGGCAGGTTATAGAAGTCTGGCCATGATCTTATTCTTTCATAAGCTGCCCTGTAAAACTAAACAAGACTTTCTCCCTTCGTTTCCAGCTTTAGCAAGAAATATGCAAAAGCTCTTTGTCTGTTCTTTTCAGCAGCTGTTAGTTGGGATAATTTGTGGGAGATGCTTTGAAAAGTCAAGTTGTCCTTTAGCTTTGTGGGGGATGATCTGGCACTGTTAAAAGGCAGTTGATGTGTGAATGGTGATGGGGATGTCAAGAAGCCCTTGGCATTTGTTCATTCAGGATTGATTGTTTGAGACTCCCTGTGTGATGCCAGCTGTCATGATCGGTGTTAAATTGCAAGAAATTAGTTCCAAAAGCAGGCCCTGATGAGCCAGGAGACTGGGATGACAGGAGGGGAAAATAGGATGCCATTCAAAGTTCCTTCTGGTCTGGCTGCAGGAAGGTTTCTTCTGGGAGTCTGTTGGCAGGCAGACCACCAGGGAGTGGCATGGGCCCTTCCCTTGCTTCATAAAGTTAGGAACACAAATGTAGTAAGAATTACTTTTGCAAGGATTTTGTACTGGTTTTGACCCCAGAAGTTTCAAAATTAGATGAAGAAGTGCCAAGAGTAAATTCTACACCAGCAGGAAGCGTCCTCAATAAATCTTAGAACAAATAGCTCTGAGATGTAGATAAATGTGTTTCTGGAGGTAACCACGGGTGGTGGCAAACATACAACCATTTCTCATGGTGTCTCTATGCAATTATGAAGATAGTTTGTCAGTGTGATAGGAGGAGGGAAGAGGGCAGAATCCTCCTTAAAATGCTAACATAGTGTGTTGCAAAGCACCAGGAGGAACGAAGGGTTTTCTGTGCGCGTTTTGTTACTTGGCAGGGTCTGCTATGACTAAATCTCCAAAGACTGCTGTTTCTTTTTATTTTTTATTTTCTTTAAAGTTGCATTTATTTATGTATAATGCAGCTTGTAAGCGAAAAAAACCAACCTCACCTTATCAGACCATGTATGGGCTTGCTTTGTAAAGTGTTTGTGACTGCCTGCTCAACATGACTGGAAGCTGTGAATTGAGTCACTCACTTGTCAGACCTCAGAGTTCCCATGCTAACCACAAGAAGCATGTGCAAAAAGATCCTCTTCAGCTAGGCTTCTTGTGCCCTCGATTATTCTTCCTTTATATTGTTACGTCTGTTGATTTTTATCTTTTTTTAATATTCATCATGCAGCGAGGAGTGTTCTTCTGAAATTGTGAATTAAATATGTTCTTTTAAAAGGAGCAAAGCCAAGTGGCTAAGGCAACAGCCTAACTTTAATATCTCTGGTTAACAAAACACTTGCCTAAACGAAGCCAAAGCACCTCACAGGAGTTTTTCTTCTAATGGGAATTTATTAGAATTATTTATTAAATTGAAAAAAGACATTTTTGCACTTCTATGATTTGGGTTGGACAAAAGTCAGCACCAGATACTTTTTGCTCAAGTTGTTAGATCTGAAAACAAATGATGACCAAACCAAAATAAATAAATGACTCTACTTTCTGCAATTGCAGTGTAATGGGAACCAGACTGGAATCCAGCGAGCCTGCAGATAGAGCCGTGCTTGCTTTGAAACTGCAGTCAGTGCCTGGCTCTGTGTGTGGGACACACAGCAGCGTGTCTGGCCTCTGACACAAAGGTCTTGGATTGGCAGCACGGCCCAGCTTGGCTGTGCTGCAGCTCTCCCGTCCTCCCAGAGCCACCTTAGCTGTCCCTGCTCCAGCCACGGCACAGCTGGAACTCACAGCAGGGATTTTGTGAAAGCTGGGGGGCTCTGGAGGAGTGCAAGGGGTTCGTAGGAGATGTGGAACAACAGCATTGTCCAGCTATAAGACTGTTTCTAATCAGGTTTTAGTAATCAGTCAAGGAAATGTAAGCACTAGATATGCTTGGGGTTTAATTAGTTTGCTTTTTGGACATCCTGTCCTTGTTGGTGTGTGAAAAATTACAGCTGTCAACTAAAATTTGGGCAGGAATCCTCTGTAATTGTTTTGGAAGAGATTCTTCCAAGGGTGCCCAAACATAGATTTAAGCTTCTGAAGTGTGATTTTCCTGAAAGTGAGGATGTTTAGCACTGGGTGAAATGGAATAGGACAGGATGAGTTCCCTGGCCCTGGCAGAGGAGGGCAAGTCTGCTGAGTTGCCTTGGCATGTCCTCCTTACGTCAGTAGGTGAACCAGGCTGTTACATCCACCCTCACTTGAAAGAGAGTAGCTAATAGTGTAAGTCTACTGGCTTATCGGAGGTTTGTTCAACAAATCTAGTAAATGTGGATTTAAAATTTCCTCTTTAAAATAAAAAAAGCCTACACTAAGACCACTTACTTCCTTTCCCCTCCCTCTTACACAACTGTGATGCTGTTGAGAAACAGCTGCAAGCACTTGAGAAACACTAAATGAGGGTTAGAAATGTGCAAGCAGATGCTCAAAAATGTTCGGCTTTTTGTTGTTTTTTCTCTTACTCCTCTTCATCAGATGCTTTTGTGTCTGCATTAAGCACAGTTTATCCTCTTTTTTGCATTGGCTGAATACCACATGCAAGAAAAATTCCGTTGATTTAAGTAAATGACTTGTTTGTGCTCTCAGTAGTGCAAGTCCAGTTGTATTTCAAGTCATACCAGCAGGGTAAGATGGAAACTGTGTGGAAGTAATACAAAACCCTGTGTCACCCCCCTCCTTTTCTCTGCCAGTGTTTAATTATTGGAGGTGGCCCCTGTGGCCTGCGGACTGCCATAGAACTTGCCTTCCTGGGAGCCAAGGTTGTCGTTGTGGAGAAGAGGGACACTTTCTCCAGGAACAATGTGCTGCATCTCTGGCCCTTTACCATCCACGACCTTCGGGGACTGGGAGCAAAGAAATTCTATGGCAAGTTCTGTGCAGGATCTATTGATCACATCAGTAAGTATCTGAGGGCATGGGCACTGTTCAGATAAGAGGTTGCCAGGATCAGAAGATTGGTGGAGACATTCTTGGTTTGGCAGAAAGTTCATCTGACTTAACCATGTGCCAGTGCATGTGTGCACACAGAGAGGAAAAAAAATGGTCTTGTTTAAGCAAGGTGGAAATAGAACAAGTTACAGTCTTATGGAGCAGATTTTCTTGTTAGTCTGCTATGGTTAAACAACAGGTTTTGATTATGAGGTATGAAGAATATTGATATTTATTCCAGTATGTTGAAGGTAGACACAAATAACAGAGTGGACTATTTTACAGGGAAATATGCTGTAAAATTTTGTATACTAAAATACGCTGGTTAGCAGATCTTTTAAATATCATCAAGAGACAAAGCTCTACAAAAACATTCTAAGAAACTCAACTGAAATGAGTTTTGCTAACGAGATTGTGCTGCAAGAGGAAAGGGAGGTGGAAGAGAACAACATCCTGTGGTAGTTGCTATGTTTGCATTCATTACAGTATGGGAAATAGAAATGCTACACACTTGTGTTAACAATGAATTTCAGTTCTCTAGCAGGCTGGTGGCAGCTGGGGTTGCTTACTTATCAAATACATCTTTGTCACTTGCTCTCCACAGGTATTCGACAGCTTCAACTCATCCTCTTCAAAGTTGCCCTTATCCTTGGAGTGGAAATTCACGTGAACCTGGAATTCGTGAAAGTCCTGGAGCCTCCTGAAGATCAAGAAAACCAAAGTATTATTTATCATAATACATTCTGCTCACAGCAACTTTTTTTTGTGCCAGGTGTTATGTGAAGTTGCATAAGGCAGTCAAACACTGTTTACAGAAATCAAGAGTTTTTTGCCCTTCTTACTCAGCCAGCCTTGTTCTGTGCAGTGTGATGAGAATCAGTGTGACAGAGCACTGATAAATCTTAAAACACAGCCCAGGCTGAGAAGCTCAGGTTTTGCACTATGCCTTCTGGCATGTGTTTGAGGCTTTGTAGGAAGTCTGGTGTGGCTTCTCAGGATCTTCTTCATAATATAAATATTGAGGATGGATGAAGTGCCGAGGGCCTTGTTTTTGCATTCACATTTGCTATAACTCCCACTGGCACACAGAGTCTTATGAGCATTCTTACGCAAGATTTTTAAACAATAGAGAAAGATTCTAATTCTCTAATTTTTTTTAAATATTAGTTTTTTGGATGTAGTATCACTAAAATATTTTAAAATTTTAATTTAAACTCTGTGGTATCTCTTCAAAGGGTCACATAGTGACAGCAAAACAAGTATATTAGTTTAAATAAAGTATATATAATTTTAAAACACTGACAGTGCAAACACGTTCACATAATCAGCTTTGTAAAAAGAATAAATTTAGCTTTGTGAGTATGCTTCCATTTAATTTCTATTTAGAAGACAATTAGAAGCACTGATGATGGAATGCTATTTTTCCTCTTTTAGTAGCCAGTTCTTTCTTGCAGTAACCACATGTATGTACTGCCCTGGTAAGGTGGCTGGGGGGTTATTTCTGTGAGAATCAAATGCTTGAGCATCTTCTTGTGTGGCTCTGAGAGGAAGCTACTGCATTAGGTGATCCAGAGAATGAGAAATGCACCCCTTTATCTCAGTGGCCTTTCCTCAGACTCTGAAATCGCTTCTCTGCTGTAATACTGAAGAATTAATAAATATTATTTGTGTTTTCAGAGATGGGTTGGAGAGCTGAATTTCTCCCCATGGATCACCCTTTGTCAGAGTATGAATTTGATGTTATCATTGGTGCAGATGGCCGCAGGAACACCTTGGAAGGTGGGTGGATGTGTGTGTTTAGCCTGATTACTGCTCTTTAGGGTACCTTGAAAGATCTGAAAGTCAGAGCAAAGAAGGAAACAAAGCAGCAGGTTACCTTTCAATCAATGGAAGTCTGTGTGAAAGCTGTTGTTTTATGTGGTACCTTTTGGTTTTGTTTTTAAGTTATAGCTCAAAGTAAAAAACATTTGATGTCATTACTGCTTCTGAGCTCTGTGTATTTGCACTGCCTACAGAATGCATTGTGGTGCCATTGGGCTTGCTTCAAGGCTAAGTAATTATATGATGATTTAACTTGAAGGAAGCTGACAAGATATAGGTCAGGGATGGCATAGCCTTTGCTGTGGTGCTGTGAATTTGCCCTGTGTGCTTGAACTCGTGACCAAAAGGTGACTGCCAGGTATTTAATGAAGGCAACAGAGGCTTTGCTGCTTTGTAAATGAGACTGAACTTCAGAAGCAGCTCCTTTAGAAACAATGGCAAAAGGTAATAAAGAGCTCTAAGGTTTGTGGGAGTAGAGGGTGTAAATGTTTCCTGAACTTGAGTCACTGCTGAGAATTCAGACCACCTGAGTTGTGTTTCTCAGAGAGACACTGGCTAAGCTGCTCCTGCATCACAGGAACAAACCTTTTACTTAATTATGTATTTCCCTTTTAACTCTAATTATATCCAAGCTAGTTTCCATTCTCTAAGTACACTTTTCCTTTTTTTTTATTGGCTTCATAGTTTGTCTGCTTATTCTTTTATCTGCCAAATACAATGTACTTACAGTTAATTCCTCATAATGCTGTACTGGAAATTTCCCTACACTGTTGTCTGGCTGTCCCCCATAAAACACTGTTTAAATAGTCAGTTACCATCAAAATGTAATTATTCTTGCCTCACCTGCAGACTCTATCAAAAGGTTAATGTTTGCCATCATACCAGGATCTAGGGGAGTGATTGGTGCACTGAAGACATGTATAGGAGCTGGTGGTCTCTTATCAGATCTATCCCAATGAAATAACGAGAGCATATCAAGAAGCACAGAGACAAAAATCCATTACCAATTTATTTCTTGCTATAAAATAGCATATTCATATAATGTCATCTGCAGTGAGCCAAAAATACCCTAAGGATCCTCTATTCTAGTTCATAATTTAGTAACATTAAATTACATACATACAGATGGAAAAACTTCAATGTGTGATTGCAAGATTGTGGCTCAGGGGGCTTTTGTTCAGTGAAAAGTGAAAGCAAAGATGGAGCGAGGAGTTTCTCAGTTGGTGTCACCTTGGTAATATAACAATTAACCCACTGAATATTTTTCAATTCCAAATACCTGTGGAAAATCTCATTAGCTGGTAGTGTGTGCACCTAAGCACTGCTACAGTGATTTCTATTTTTCACATCATTCTCTGCTGCTTTTTGACTGCTGATCTCTTGCATGTTTTTTCAAGACCTGTTTACTACCTATATAAGAAATACCTAACTTGCCATTTAGCATGTTAAAAATGTCTCCCTCCACTGAAATTGACCTGTTATATTCCCACACATGTAAAAAAAAAAAAAAAATTTCCACGTTTTTCTTTAGTCATAGTTTTTCCTGAAGTTCTTCCCTTAGTTCCCCATCCAAACATTTTTCAATGAGAGTTTATCTTGAATGCAGTGCAGCTCTAGTTTTGCAGCTGAAAATGGGGAGAAAAGACTCTTTACATTCAAAGGAATTTTGGAGGCATGGTGGAATCTACTGATGGCATGTTGTTTGATGAAGTGTAGGAAAGACATTGAGCTGCCTTGAGCTGACCCTCCCTGAAAGTCCAGTCTGAAGTTTGCAGTGGTTTTAATTCCTGTCTTTGCTCCGCAGGCTTCAGGAGGAAGGAATTTCGTGGAAAGCTGGCTATAGCAATCACTGCCAATTTTATAAACAGAAATACAACTGCAGAAGCCAAGGTAGAAGAAATCAGTGGGGTTGCTTTCATCTTCAATCAGAAGTTCTTCCAGGACCTGAAAGAGGAAACGGGTGAGTGCATCCTCATTTTTTCCACTACCAAATACAAGAGACAGCAGGGGAACTCTATGTGCCAGGCCACCCTCTTGTTACTGGTAACATCACTTTTGAATAATCTGTGTAAAAACTTTCCAAGTGATAAAATATTGTTGATGTCAGAAGCTTGCAGATGGAGGTGTCCATTTATGGTACAGTGGGATATTTTTTTAGCTTGGGTGTTGCCACATCATGGCTTGTTTTAGTGTTTAAATTTTTCTCAACTGCAAAAATGTCTGCTATGTTGAACAAATTTGGAAGAGCATTTTCAGGGCCCAGAGATTTTCCCTTAAGACATGATTTGTTTTGTTTCTATCCGTTCACATGCTGAACAGCTTAAACCCTTTGAAAAAGTCTCTGCCCTTCTGGGAGGAGTTCATTCTTGCTTTTTGATGTGTGGAGCTGATAAACTGAGAAGACCTAGAATCTGCTATAAATACTAAAAATATAAACTGTGAAACACATCTTAATGGGAAAAGGTTTCAGAATAGTTGTATTCACTGTCAGTACAATCAACTCTATTCTTGATTTACAGCTGATTTTTAAAAAAAAATTACTATTGTAATTGATACCAAACCCCCTCGTTAGACCCAATGCCAGAGCCCTAGCAACCTGAAAAACACTTTGCTCCCTTGGCACTCAGTTCTACCTCAGGAGCTGTTAATGCTGTAGTTAACTAGATGTTCCCTGAAAGAATGCTGAATAACTTTAAACTGTGCTGAGAAAAACTGCTGTTGGGCGATGTCACCCTGATTTTTTAAGTTTTTCTAAACCTTCTGATTCTTGTAACAAACTTTCTCATCGCACACTTTATGTAAATAACTTATTGTTTTGCATTCTTTTATGGAGGAGGAGAAATTTGATGGACTGTTGGTTTGTCCAGTGTCATTGGAGAGGTGGTACTGTCACCTTCCAATCCACTGTCAGTTTTGGAAATCTATAAATGTTGGAGTCAGAAATTAAAAATTCTCTTTTCGCCTTGGAAGAGCTGCGTGCCAGCATTGTGTTATTTTTTGTCCTACAGTGACAGGGTGAGACCACTGTCCTCTCTTGTTTTGTTTCACAGCATTCTGCCCCCTAATCCTTGATCCCAGCTGGGAGAGGGGATGCAGCCTAAGAAGGAAGAGCACCTGCCGGGATCAATCCCGTGCTGTTGGTGAATGACACGGGCAGAGCGCTGCATTTGGTGACAAATGTGTCTGTCTCTCTTTTCAGGGATTGACCTGGAGAATATTGTTTACTATAAAGACAGCACGCATTATTTTGTGATGACAGCAAAAAAGCAGAGTCTTCTGGACAAAGGAGTGATTATTAACGTATGTAAAAATGCTGGTTAAACCCTATTTTATTTACTTGGCACAGAGTAAGTGTGAACATCTGCATAAACGTTGCTGGATGTTAGACAGGGTGTTTATAGACTTAATCACTTCATTCAAGCTCAGGCCACTTGGATCTTACTCTGACATTTTTAGGATTTGCTTTTTCCCTTCAGTCAGCTCAAAGTTTCAATAGAGAACTGAAAACAATACTTCCTAAATTAATCAGTTTTGAAACTGGCTGAAATGGGATCTTGACTCACCTTGGAAATACGTGGTGGGATCGTCACAGCAGAAAATAAAAACCTCAGTTATTTAAGGGTGAACTTAGCACAGCTATGTTCAGTTTTATCAGGCAAGTAAGGAAGTGTAAAAACCTACCCTAGGTTAAATTGCAAATTCTTTAAAGTGGGTGAAACATAATAGAAGAAGGCTATAAACATGATGGCCTGACCTTTCCGGGGTATGTGTGATTTCAAGGTATTTTTTTCTTTCTTTTTTTTTCTTCTTCTTTAAAATATAGGGTTTATTTTCTTTTGTTTCTAGGAAGTGTTATGGCACCACTTAAATTTCCCTTTCTGGAAACCCAAAAGAGTTCGATTTTTCTTGGAAAGTAAAGCAGTGCCAAAACAGCCAAGTGTAATTTCCTGAAGGAAGTACTTGTGGGGAACTCTTAAAAGGGCTTTTGGCTTTCTGATAGGAGCACTCAGCTCAGTGCCATGATTCCCTGCCCTTTTGGAGGCCAGGGGCTCCCAGGGCAGAGCTGCTGTCCATGACCAGCCAGGCTGGGAGAGAGGAAGGGTCAAACCCCTTGGTCTAAATGCAATGCCACTAGGGTTTGCAAGGGATGGTGTTCAGGAAATATTATATCAAGTTTTTGTGCATTATAACTTAAACTGTTGATGTGCTTTAGTAAATCAAACCCACCATCTTCTGCCTCCTGGAGTTCATTGGCCTCAAGCTTTGTTCAAACATAGGCAATTTTTTTTCCTCTTTATTCATTCTTTTTTCTTTTTCTTTTCTATTAAGTGCAAGTAACTTCAACTGTACAGTAAATGCACCAAGTAACACAAAATAAAATAAATAGAATAAAGTAAATAAATAAAAGTCCCATGGCATTTTTCACATGCTTGTGGTACTGTAAAAGATCACCTATGACATTGAGTTCAGTTTCGTGCAGGCTCACTAGATTACTTGAACCCCACTTGAAGTTATAACAGCTTGGAAATGGAGGGACTAATATCAATTGTGTATTTTTCATTTTGAGCAGTTTTCTGAAATCCTCTTTACTTTCAGTGATTTTGTGTCTATTTCCATAAATAGGTGTCTGTTTAAGATGATGTTTTCAAGATGATTCATCACTGCCGATATGTGTAGGCTGAGATTGTGGGGCTAGTGTTTGTAGGTGAGGGCAGTCCCAGGGGATCTGTGGGGAGTTTGGAGCAGAGGAGCAGCAGCTGTGGCTCATCAGAGCTGTTTTCATGACCTACTCAGCTCTGAGTGGAAAAAAAATCAACCACCCCAGTGTGTCTGGTGCAACTGGGCTAATAGCAGTTTTGTGGTATCATCTGTGATTAGGGGTCTCATCCACGATTAGGCTGGAAATAGAACCTGCCTCATTAATAATCACTGCCTTTAAGTAGGATGACCTGTAAAGGCAGGGTCCTTTACCACTCTCCCCAAGGAAAATCCCAGCCCAAAAATGAACAGAAAAGCTGCTACAGTCCAGGTTTGAGTGTGGTGTTTTTACTGAGATGTCGAGTCAAACCTTGAGGCTGAGCCCCCATGTCACAGCATCAGTGCTTCTGCTCTCCTGTGGTTTCAGATGGGGGCTGCACGTGTGCAGCAAAGCATTGCAGTGATGTGGATGACACCTTTTGATGTGAGGGAAGTAATGTTCTGAAAAGATCACAGCACCAAGGAACTGGGAGGAGCTATGATTTTCTATTGCAAACAAAGCTGCTCGTTCAGTGTGGGCAACGAAAGTTTCTGTTTGGGGCAGTACCTGTGCTTGTGCATTGGCTTTTTGGAGATGACAAGTGTCACTTGTTTCTTGTTGCTGCGAGATGCGTGGCTCCCAGTCCTGCTGTGAGACTGCAGTGTTCCAGTTCACAGAGGACATTGGAGTCTCTCATCCCACATCCTTCTCTCCTTGCAGGACTCTGTTGATACCGAGCTGCTGCTCTGTGGGGAAAATGTGAACCAGAGCAATTTGCTGTCCTACGCCAGAGAAGCTGCTGACTTTGCAACCAACTACCAGCTGCCTTCCTTGGATTTTGCAATTAATCATTATGGCCAACCAGATGTAGCAATGTTTGATTTTACCTCCATGTATGCATCTGAAAACGCTGCGCTGGTGAGAGAGAGGCACAGACATCAGCTCCTGGTGGCTCTTGTTGGAGATAGTTTGCTTGAGGTATATCTTGGAATGCCTTCCAAGTAGTATTTTCAGGTTTTTTACTTTACTTCCTTAATCCAACCATTCAATCTAGCCTCCTGTATAAAATGTCCTCTTTTGCATATCTTGAAACAGTGGTTCCTTCTTTGGAATAGGTTTTCCCCCTTTTTTCTTTTCTCCTTTATTATGCCATAGTTTGTCATAGCTAATGCTTGGCTGGCAGCCTGTGGCTGAGATCCCATTTTGCTTTATGCAAGTTGTGTTTCTGAAAGCTGTGAGCTCCGTGTCCTCAGCTCGGGTGCACGGCATAATTTTACTGAATTCCATCATAGACAAAAACTTGATCCAAATTATTATTGCAGTCTCTTTGCCTTAGTATGTTCCCTTTTTTTTCTTTCTGAAGTGAAAAGTGTATGCTGCAACTTTCTTTTAAATTCATGCTGACAGCCTGAGGCATTTGAAAAGAGTGGTCCAAAGCAAGTTTAGGAGGTGAAAAGGGCATCTTTTTTTTTTTTTTTCCTTTAATAATTCTTGAGTCTTCTTTTTATTCTCTGCCTATACCTTTTAGGGCTAAGAAATTTGTTTTTATATATAGAAGTTAAAAAAAAGGAAAAAGTGAAAAAAGTAATCTTCTTCCCCTGCCTAAGACTTAAAGGAGAGGCACGTTTAAAACCTGCAAGTGTTGCCTGTGTTGCATTTTGACTCCTTCTGGGTTATTTTTCCAAGACAGTATGAAACCCTGTTTGGACTCCAAATTCACATTGAAAGTTACTGTTGTAGTAAGAGCTTAAGAAAAGCAGAGAACTAAAGTGTAACTGCTCCTTGCAGCCCTTCTGGCCGATGGGCACTGGTTGTGCAAGAGGCTTCTTGGCTGCCTTTGACACGGCGTGGATGGTGCGGGGCTGGGCGCAGGGGAGGCCCCCGCTGGAGATCCTGGCTGAACGGTGAGTGCTGCTCTGCTCCCCTGCATTTCCAGACTTTTAAAGAACTACAAGGCACGGGATTTCAGAATGCTATCAGGAGAAATAGTATTAGGCTTTAAATCACTGATTTATGGCACTAAAGTGTGATCCTTAAAGAAATAGACCAAAGAGACCTTGTATCAAGAAAACCCGAACCTCCGGCCATCTCAACACCTGTTTTTTTATCATCAAAATAAAAAAAATCCTGAAAGGAGTCTAAATAAATTCTTCAACCGTAACAGCTTTCAGAGTTGGTTTCTGTGATTTTAATTCTATATTTTGGCATAGTGGTGCTCTCTTTAGGCTGATAAATATGTGGAGAATTATTATAATGCTGCACCAGAAACTTTTTTTGACTGGAGCAAGAAAATCTGTTGCAAAGTACAGCAGCAGTCTTGGCGTCATCATGGTCTGAGGGTTGAAGTTGCTGACTTAGGTCCTGCTGGCAGCCACCCTGCTCTCCTACAGCTGCCCAGGCTGTTTTGGGGTAGATATGTAATAGGAAGAGTCATGGCTGTGGGAATGCAAGCAGGACCTTCACTAACTACTGCACTTTGGGAATTTTTAAGGTAGAAGCCTGTGGGATGACTCAAACACGGCCTAATCCCAAATGGAAAATTGAACAGCATAGTAAAAAAAGCTGTGGTGGTTATAGGAATTGCAGGATGACAGGATTTAGTGCTATTATGTGGTTAAAAAGTTACTTCTTGAGTAGATGTTAAAGCAAAACCAGATGACTAGATGATGTAATCCCCCTTTTTTTTTTTCCCTCCTTTTTCTTGCTCACTTCCTGCCTCAGGAAAATATGGGCATAAGCTCTAAGTGTCCTCTTGTCCTTTTTCTGTCTGGCATCCTTCTGCTGAGTGGGGATAAGAAATGGGATGGATGCATTATGCATTTGGTCCATAATTGTCCTGGCAGAAACAAAATGAAGTTTAGGCAGCTGCAAAAAAACCCCTGATCTCTTATAAATAAATATTTATTTTAATACATAAATCTTGCATCTTTTTTCTCTCCAAGAGAGAGCATTTATCGACTCTTGCCTCAGACAACCCCTGAAAACATTAATAAGAACTTTGACCAGTACACCATTGACCCGGGAACAAGATACCCAAACTTGAACTCGAGCTGTGTTCGACCTCACCAGGTCAGTACTTAAAAGGCTTGCTTGTGAAATCAGTTCTTTTTTTATCAGGGGTAAATAGAGCTGCAAGGAGTGTGTAAACAAAATCTTCAGGAGACTCCTTAATTTAGAACCAGCTGCTGATAAAGTTAACCTGGAAACAAAACTGGTTTTTTGTCTGATGTTATGCTGGTGATTGCTTTTCCTTGCAGGTGAGACAATTATATGTTACCAATGAGCTACAGCAGTGTCCTCTTGAAAGAGTGAGCTCCATCAGAAGATCAGTGAACCTCACAAGACAGGGTAAGTGGCATCTCCTGTTTGCTGTGGATTAACATTTGTGGCCTTCTGAGCATGCAGAAGCTGACTGAAAGGTTTGCTTTCCCCTCTGTGCAGAGTCAGATATTCGGCCTAACAAGCTTCTGACGTGGTGCCAGAAGCAGACGGAGGGATACCGAAATGTCAATGTCACTGACCTGACCAGCTCCTGGAAAAGTGGCCTTGCTCTGTGTGCCATCATCCATCGCTTCAGGCCTGACCTCATGTGAGTGACAGCTGGGGAACTCCTCGGCTGAGGCATTTGCAAAGGGCAGTGTAAGGCCAGAGCAGCCCTGACACTCCACAGTCCCCTTGTGTGGCTGCTTTCTGCAAGGAAGTGCACACCACGGCCAGGCGTGGAGGGGGGAAGGGTGGGGTTGGGTTTGCTGTGTTTCTTCTGTGTGTCCTTGCATGCTGTTTAGCATGAAATAGATGTGCTTTCAAAGAGCTAGGAGGGTTTTGAACCCTATGATTTATCATGTTTGTGGGAGTCATGTGTCTATTTAAAACGAAATTTGCAGTTCTGGGGGAATGTGTAGAGCTGCGTTCCCAGATCCCTGGAGACAGGTTATGGTGTCTGTTTGAAACCACAGCCATGAAGCACAATCCTGAGTTACAGAAATGCTGGGTGAGCCTGAAGGAGCCATTCTTCATGTGTTGTTCTGGTTGCTGTGACAGTCAAAGAGGGAAATGTTGGTCTGTGGAGATGGAGGTTTTGTAAAACTCTGTCCAGGAGAGCACAGAGTTCTTTCACGTGGGCAAAGCAAGGGCAGGGCCTTGAAAATTAACTGCCCTAGGGGTTGAGTGTAAGCCAGCATTCCCCTTTTGGCACAGTTTCTGGGGTCCTAGTGCTGCATGACCCAACTCCATGCATCTGAATATTTTGTAATGTCCCGTAGTTAGATACAAGAAGGTCAGTGTGTAACAGGTATCAAGAAATAGCAATTGCTGGCACTGCTGGGTGCAGTCAGTGGGGTGACTCTCTCTTCTCACCAGTCTCCAAAATGCAGTGGATGCATTCTCTTGTCTTCCTACAGAGAGTTAGGAGTCACACATGAATTACTGTTAACCTCCCTTTATTGTGGATAAATGAAAGGAATGACTGAACTTTTTTATGAGGTGTTATAAATTGGAAAAAAATAGGAGTGGTACCTAGAGTGCTTGTTTGTACAGTTTTGCCAGAGGAAGAGCTGAGATTTTAAGAACAGGAATTTTTTTTTGGCCTTGGGTTAGTTTAAAAGAATTAGAATTCTGGATGGTTTTGGGAGAGAGGATACAGAAAGCAAAGTAATCTTTGCTGACTGTGGAAAACATGTTCTCTGCACTGCTCTCTACAAGGTCAATAAATTTATCTTCCTGAGCTAACAGACCTCCTGCTGTTCAATTAATGTTGTGTTTGGATCTTGTTGGCTTCTTGTATTCAATGAGCCTGCAGAAGGACTTGGCTGGATGAAAGCTAGGCAGGCAGGAGAGGTGGCTGCCAGTGACAGCTCCCAGCTCCAGAAATGGGCAGTGGGTGGGTGAGAGAAGAGGAGAAATTCTTTGGGAATTCAAAAACTCACATTCCACTGTGAGGAGAAAGAAACTACCCTGCCTGGATGGAGCTTTGTAATTTATTTACATGTTTATTTTAATCATGAATTTTGGAAGCTGTTCAAAAGATCAGAGTCTTAGAATAGGTCTCATAGAAAATGGATTAGAGAGTGGATAACAGAGTTCCAGATGTGTGATGCACTTATTTAGTGTACTGCTAAATTCAGTTATGACCTGGGCAGGAGGTCCCTGCTCAAACCGTGTGTGTAACACATTAAAAAAGGAAAGGTAGTGTCTGTGCATGTGTGTGCACATACATAATATGCTACTTCCATAGAATGCTGTCCCAAATTTCTTCCTCCTGGCTTTGGTGATTTATAAAACTAATTGAACCTAAGTAATCTCTTGCTAATGGATGAAGTCTGTAGCAGTTCAGCTGTATTTGGAGAAGGAGAAGGTTTGCTAGCACTTCTGAGGAAGAATTGCATCTCTCCAATAAATAAAGATATTTTTTGGTAGGACCACATCAAGGTCCAGTTCAGTGAAAAAGCTTTTGGATTCCATTTCTGGCAAAGGCAGTATTTGCAATAATAAAATAAGTGTTTGCAATAATCTTGAGCTGCTGGTGCTGCTGTGCCACGGGGGCACGGCGTGTTGCCGAGGGGAGCGGGAACGAGCGATGCCGCTGTCTGTCTGTCCCCACAGTGACTTCGAGGCCCTGAACGAGGAGGACGCGGTGAGGAACAACCAGCTGGCCTTCGACGTGGCCGAGCGGGAGTTTGGGATCCCCCCGGTGACCACGGGCCAGGAGCTGGGCTCGGCCGGGGAGCCCGACAAGCTCAGCATGGTGCTGTACCTGTCCAAGTTCTACGAGCTGTTCCGCGGCACCCCTCTGCGCGCAGTCGGTGAGTGAGCCTTCGTCCAGGCTGCTGATGAGCACTGCTCTCCAGCCAAGAGGCTTTTCCCAGCCAGGCAGAGTAGGAATTTTCCAGAGTAGAAATCCATTTTGATTTGGGTGAAATGTACGTCTTTGGGTTAAGTCTGTAGTTTGCAAACGTGGCTGTTTAGTCTGACTGCCTGTTCTCGCAAAAACCTGTGCTCAGAGAAACTGCTTCAGCTGAAGGACAGAGATAAGGAGGGGGCAGACAGAGAGAGCAGGGTCAAAATGAGCCAGGAGTTCCTTCTGATAAAGAAGAATCAGTGGCAAATGTCACATGAAATCAGTGAAATGAACATGAACTTATTGTGACATTGCATGCATATGTGTTTGAGAGGGAGATAAAAGAGGATCTAGAGTTCCCAGAGGCACGCATGTCATGTTAGGGGAATGATCCCCACATCCAGCACTGTAATAAACACACCGGCTTTACAACTTCCACAAAAGTTGTGGAGTTTGTTTGCTCCCACAAATCACCAGCAGAGCCCTTCTGGCCTGCAGGAGTTACCTCGGGCTTAACACAGGAAATGGGGGAGAATTTGATTGAAGACCAAGGCTTTGTGGGTCCTTGGTGGTTTCAGGGAGTAGGAGCAGCTGGATAACTGCTGCTTGACATCATGGAGGGCATGTATCGAGTTGTTGCTGTGATTCCCTGGTAGCACACTGATGCTTGTGTTTCTCTCCTCCTTTTTTTAAAAAGCCACCCTACATTGTATGTATTTACTTTTATTTGTCTGTGTTTCTTATATATAATTGCTACCAGCACTCAACTGGAAAGCTTTGGCTTAGAATAATTTAAAACCAAATCTAAGTAAATATCCTAAGCAGTTGTTTTTTCAACAGATGCTGCTGAGAAGCAAAATGGAGAAAATAATGATCCTGGTTCACCAAAATCATCAAATTTCATCTTTAATAATCATATCAATTTAACTTTACCAAGAAAACGAGTACCAAAGGTGAGTTGTGAAGCAAGACTTGCTGTATGAATATTTTTTTTTCTGAAAAGATGAAAATAAGCTTTCAGGCTCAGAAATAAGGGGTTTATATATACACTGCTATAATTTTCTGAGCTATTTCTGCCTGTAAGAAAGAGTCCTGTAGCTCTGTATTCCTGGAGTTAAATATACAGCCATTTTATTATATACCAGTTCAAATAATCAGTGCTATGCTAGACTGTTTATTGATTGGGAGGGAGGGCTGCTTGTTGAATAAACCAGTGATTTGCACAGTTTGTGGATGCTGTCAGGGTTCTGAAGAGAAGCTTTCCAACTCCTACAGAGGAAACCTGCAGTGGTGACAAACAGTGGGCAGGTTGATCAGCAGCTTAGGGATAACAATCTCTTAGTCATGCCCGTGTACTTTTCTCTCTTGGTTACTTATTAATGAAAACTTACTGACAGGCCCTGTTATATCCCTGTATTATAAAAAATCCATGCCCATACATGCTGTGATTAAGCACTACAGAGCCTTGAAGCTTTGCAGGGGCCTGAGTTAACACATGTACACATCTACTGCATTTCTCAGTATTTTAATATACTGCTTTTTATAGTTGTTGCTCTCTTGTCTTGTAGAAATGTAATTTCTATTTTTTTCACCTGAAGAATTACTCCAGAACTTCCAGATACTTCCTACACTGACTTTTGTCTTGAATATTTTCCATCCTGCAAACTGTTTTTCAAAACCTATGGGCAGTCAATTGTCCAGTAACTTAAAATATCCTTGTTAGGAAATAATTTTTTCCTGCCACCCACATATACACAAAACTAAGTGACATGGTTCCCAGATAGCCAAGCTGTGAGAAACCAAACAGGCAGAATAAACTTTGCTTTTTCTTGTGGGTGACTTCTTTAGAAGGAAAACCTTTATCATGACCACAGTGTTGTTTTTCAATGAGTTGTTTGCAGAAGTAAACAGACTTTTAGCAGTGGGGAGAGCTTTCCATTACTGAGCCATAGAGCCTCTGATTAACCTCCTGTCATGAAATAAGCCTTCTGTCATAGCAGGAGCTGGAGTTCTTGGCAGTACATGAAAGCACAAGGTGATTTGCTTGAAGGGCCCCTCTGGTTTCACACTAGAGGAGCTCGTTGGAAATGAGAAGTGGAAGTATTATTTCCCAAATCAGCTTGGGAAACAAGGCATTTTGTATGAGGTTTTGCAGCTCTGTCACGGATGGGCTGTGAAACCAAGCATGGTGGGTTAGGGTTCTTGGATTAGGACAGACTTGGGAGTGCCATAACCAGCTGAAACTAGCTGGGCAATTAAGCTCCTTGGAAAGCAATTGCTTGAGTTCAGGGTTTGGCTGAGGCTTCAGTTTTAGGGTTCTTTCCCCTGCAGGAAGTGGTGCTGAGCATTATCAAGGTGCATGTATATGAGTTGTTCTGTCCAGGCTTTAGCAGAGCAGAGAGTGTTGCTAACTGAGCTTCCATGGCATGCAGTTTGTCCTTGGGCTGGGCTGGAGGAGGGATCCTTATCTGGGCGCAGGCTGTGAGAGACCAGGAAGCGGGGCCTGGAGCTGGGGTGGCTGTGGCTGTTCTGGCAGCCTGTGCTGAGCTGGATCATGTTTTCCATTCTCCTCGGAGTGTCAGCCCGGCTGGAGAGGAACTGAGATTTCCTGTGCTCCAGACTAATAAATGAATGGAGGTGTTTACACAATGCAGGGCGCAGCCCTTTTGGAGTCCTGCTCGGCAATTAAATTGCTTTGTCTTTCACTTCTTTGTCAGCATGTTAATGAGAGTCCTTTCTGCCCAATTTCTGAAAGGCAGCATCTTGCTTTGCTCCCTTCACTCAGGCAAAATCTGCTTTTATGTGGCCCAGGCTATTATGCAGGATACATTGTGCTGCTCTGTGTTCACCCTTTCTGGGTGTAGACTGATGACTCTAGGTAGTGCAAAGCTGGGTTTTACTGAGCTGCTGCTTGAAAGACAACGTAGTAAAGCAAAGTAATTGAAATATTGTCATCTGATTCCTTTGGTGTTTGCCCACAAGTTGTTTGGGATTACTCGTCTTCATTGCATAATGATTTATTACAAACAGTCTATATGTAAAAAGGAAGCCTTTGATCTTTCTTTATTTCTTTTTAAGGAATTCCTTTTACTCCTTTTATTTGTTTTTTAAGTTGGCTGAGCAGGCACTAAGTTACAGCGTGGGCAAATGCCAATAAGTGGAATATAGTTTATTGTTCATAAATTATCACCATATCAAATAATCATGACTGAATGTTATAAGAAGTGATAAAAATTTGCCAGCATTGACTACTTTTCAAGTTTGTGCAGACTGAGTATGAAGTATTACTGATTTGTGTAATCTCTAGTTGAGTAAAATAATGAAATATGTTCGTAGCTCGAGCATAAAAGAAGCAATTTGGTTGCTTAAGTGTTGTAATGTTCAGCCATAGTCAGGGAGGTGAACCTTAGGAGACAGACCTTCAAGGCAGCCAGTAATTGCTCAAAAATGGAAGCATGACTGTGCTATGAATTCATGTTCTGCATGCAGACTGATGGTTCAAGAGAGATTTGGGGGTTACAGTGAAAGACTGAGGGGTTTCTGGATTTTGTTACTTCTCTGGAAAACACTGCAGTCTAGCTGAAAATTCACGGAATAACTCATGCTGTAAAACCTTTTTCTTCAAGGATGTGTTAATACATTATGAATTCTAAACTCCTCAGTCCTGAAAGAGGGAAAATTAAACACCAAGTTGTAGGGCCTGTTCAGCACAGTGTACAAGCACGTGTTCTCATGCTCCCAGTCAGGGGCTGTGTGATGGCTTTTAGTGCCCTGATGCCTGCATGAGGAGCAGTCCTGTGAGCTGGGGGGTCTGACAGGGAGGGCAGCGGGATCCCCTGATGCTGGCACTGCTCACCTGTGTGTGCCTGGCTGAGCACAGCCCAGACCTCACCTGCCTGGCGGATGGAGCTTCTCCTGGGAGGAGCTGCTGGGGTAAACTTGGGAATCGCTGCAGTAACCCATGGAACTTGTTTTGGCTTTGCCCTTTCAGGCTGAAGGGAAAACAGAAGAAAATGAGACGAACAAGAGGCGTCGGAAAGGCCTCTTTGGTGTCTTTGAGCAGGTTGGTGTTCAGTGGTGCCCACCCGTGTCCAGATGGGCACCAGAGCTGAGGAAGCAGTGGGAGCTGGGGGACCAAGCTTTGGCCTTGGAGTATGGCACAGAAAAAACCTCTCCCTTGAAATCTTGAATTTACTGTGGCGTGCACTAAAGAAGAGATAAATTAATTTTAATCATTTGGGAGGGAGTAGAGCACTAACTAAATTGCACTAGTTTTTGTTCTGACACAGGAACATTTAAGGTATTGGTTTGTTTTTCCTTTTCCTAATTGTCTATTTAGACAATTTTTTATTTGAAGAGTTTGCATTGCAGCTTGGTTTCTAGCCCTTCTCTGATTCAACTTTGTGACTCTGCTTTATGAATAGCAGCACCGATTAATGTCCCTTTTACTGTACTCTGGGACCCAAGAAAATATTTTTTGGCAACTTTTGCATGCTAAACATGTCATTTTGGTATACTGCAGATTGTATTTCCTTTCTTCCTTTGCTGAAAAGGATGTTACCTCTCTCCTCCTCTCCCTTCATGAGTGTTGTAGGAAACACAAGAAAAACACAGTTTGTTGTTTCCTTGCAGACTTCAGGCTTTCCAAGCCAGGGGACAAACAATGGGAAAGAACAGAGTGAATGCAGAGAAGGAATGAACCAGAACAAAGTCAAATCAATGGCAACTCAGCTGCTGGCAAAGTTTGAAGAGAATTCTTCCAATACAATTCTGAGGAGACAGGTAGGTCAGAGATGAACATGAAAGCATCTCTGAAATTGAACTGTAGTCCCTCCTTGTGAAGGTAATGCAGATTTCCCAGGGAAGACAGGAGTCTCTTAGGTGTTTGGAGTGGCTTGTCTTTTTTAATATTTTATGCAAATTAAAAGTATTTCTCTCAATACTTGGTAAACAAATACAAGTCGTATAGATTGACTAATGCATCTAACAATAACATATTGCTGTGTTATAGTGTTTAGAAATCTCATGGAAGCGAGCCTGTGGAATTTTTATTGTTTGGAAGTCTAAGGTGGCTGCATGCAGTATTGCAGAAGGCCTGTTGTGGCCTGTGTTTTTCAAATAAAGGACACTGCATATCCTGTGGAGCCTGTCTTCATGGAAAATTAGGAAGTGTCTAAAGGAAACCTAATCTCTTGCAAGATATGTCTGGCTGCCATTTCCATTCCAAAACTAGACAGAGTGGAATACATTTATGCATTGTACAGCGTTTTCATGGTTTGTTGTTAGTGTCACTACAGGTATTTTAAAAACAATCCCATGCTGCCAAGGTAGGGAGGAGAAGCTCAAAATCACACTTCAGCCAGAAATAGTTGGAATTAGCAGAGTTTAGATCTGTCATCTGAAAGACCCGAAGGAAGGATGAGCAAAGTGTGGATGTTTAGGCAAAGATGGTGGCTTTCTTAATTCTTCATCCTTGTATCTGTTTGTTTATTTAGATATTTAGGTCCTCCAGTAGTGTAGGCTTTGTAGATGTCCAGTGACTTTGTCTATCCTTGAACCAAAGTTATTTGCACACTGCCTGGCTACTTGTCAATGCCCTGAGCTTTCAGTGTGTGGTAAGTGGCCAGAGAGTTCCTTGGCCATGCTGAAGGGAGTTATTTTGGTCATAAACTCTGTTAAAAAGTACTGAATGTGTTCAACTCAACTTCAAAGTATATCTATGATGGTAGCAGTTGCTAATAAAATGAGTAGGTGGCAAAAATATGCAAAATGTGTTCTTAAGCTTCATAGTAATGTATCTTTAAAAGAAGCTTTTCTTTCTTTCTGCCTCAGAGATTCTTTGAATCCTATTTTACTGTCTTCCTTTTTTTTTTTCTCCTTTACTCTGTCTTTGCAATTTTAAAAATGCTTTACAAGGAGGTAACAGATAGACCGGCCCTGCTCTCCTCTGACCCTCCTGTTAATCCTCGCTTTGCTAAACCTATGGATCCAAGCCTTCTTCCACCTCAACCAAAAAGGCAGGTAGGAAGCTCCTGGGGCTAACTAACACCTGGCAAGCACAGCATTTCTCTCACTGCTGGGAACTCGCTGCTATTGCAGAGCTACATAAGATACAAAGCACTATTTGGGTGGAAACTGCCGAGTTCACAGACACTTTTAGCTGGGAATTGTGAAAATGCCATTAGAAAATAAAGGCTGTTTCACACCTACTTTGCCAGATGAGCAAACTCTCTGAAAGTGTGGAAATACCCTGAAAACATTAGTGTTGATTTCTGTGTTACCATATCTAGACTCCAAATTGTATGAATGTAATTACACCAGCTGCTTTTAACATGTGAGAAAACTACAGCAGTACCCAAAAATTTGTGCATATACCCAATGCTTTGGGTTATTGTAATGATAGGGCTAAGAGAGAAACCTGGCAAAAAGATAAAGGCTTGAGCATTGACCAGCTGATACTGGTGCCCAGGTATTTTATTTCTATAAGTAGAATTTGTGATAAGAATTTCTGCTGAAATCTCTTTCGCCACATCACATATATGAGGAAAATTGTAGTCTAAATTTTTCTTTTGGTACTTTGACTGAAAGCAATCTCATCTCAAACAGTATTGATGCTCACTTTTCATCAGTTTTAAATTGTAGCAAACATCCTGTAATGGCACTTCAAGAGCAGTCTGCAGTGAATTGAGATCTGTATTGCAAGTGGAAATCTGCAGATCAGAAGCTATTTTATATGAAAACTCAAATTCAGAGATGTGTTCTGAACTCCTCAGAAAATGCCTTAAATCTGAAATACATTATACATTACTCAAATCTGATTTGGGTGAGATTAGATGTAGAACTATGGCAAGAATTACTGTTGAAATCCTCATAAATATAATTTGATTACAAGCTCAGTTTCAGGCAGATGTGCTGCTAAAAAACTCCAACACTTTCCTGTAAACCCTAGAGGAAGATGTTCTTCTGCACTGCTGCTGTCTGAGGTTACTCACAAAAACTCAGAAGTGTACAGAAGGATGGCAAGGCCTGCACAAGTTGTGTAGGAGTGATTTATTTCAGTGCATGTGCACAAGCACCAGAAGTGCAGTGGACAGTGTGCAAAGAGTGATGTGAGAACATTTTATTTCTAGTTATGTGCATGACTGTGCCGTTCTTTCGGAAGCATCCTTAAAAGCTGCATATCCTGCATGGTAGTGCAGAAAGCAGAGTTTTGTTCACTTCAAGTGTTTCCCAGTTTCAGGTGGTAGCTAGGAGTGAACACGAGGTCAGGGAACCCAAACAGTCTTTAAATGGTTCTGATCATATGGCCAGGAGAGCAAAGACTGTGCACAAAACAGATCCCCAGCCCAGTCTGTCAGAAACCTCTGAAAATCTCGCCTCTGCCTGTTCTGCTGCATTTGTACTTTCTGGAGTGCTTGAGCGTCTTCAGCACCTGGAGGAAAAAATGAAACAGGTGACAAGCAACTTCTTTTCCTTTCTGTCTCTTAAATGCCTGTGATAATCTGTGTACTGTGGTTTTGCTGGCTTGTTCTCTGTTGACTGTAGGTTGTATTAAGACAGTAAGAAGTCTTTCTACAAACTTCTGTGTTTTATTGATGGATGTGGTTTTAACTGAAATCTCTCTCTTTCTTTTCTTGGCTGTCCTTCCCTGGCTGTCACTGCAGAAAAGAGCTCAGACCATAGCAAATAGGGAATTCCATAAAAAGAACATTAAAGAAAAAGCAGCACATCTCGCCTCAATGTTTGGATACATGGAGTTTCCAAAGGTGAAATTTTAAGTTTTACACCTGAAGAACTGCTTATTTGGAAGATGTATAAGAATTCATGAAGGGAAAGAAATTGCAGTGGTTTTGGTTTTAACTTCCTTTCATTCTGTGTGGATCTGAAAAGTAATGTGGATTCCACTGAAACCAGTAAAAAGGATTGTTTAAATATTATTGCATAGTTTAATTGAGGTGAAACAATCTGAATCCTAAAGCTAATCAGAGTGCTTTAGCAGGAGAGAAATGTGTTCAAATGAACTATGTCTTGTGCTTAAGCACACACTGCTGGCTCAGTTTCTAATCAGTTGCTGAGCAGTGGTGCTTGGTGCACTCTGGTTTTTGCTGGATTTCATTATGCTCTCTCCCAGTACTATCTTACTGCCCACTGTGAATATTTCTATTAAAGAAATGGTACAATAATACCATTTACCATGAAGATGCCATGATGATTTTCATGGGCCCTTACTGTGCAGAGGTAGCAAGAAGAGTAGATCTGTCATTGTTATGTTTCTGGTTTTTTTGATGCATGACTGTGAACTTAACCTGTGTTGATGTCACTGTCTCTTGGGTAACTCTCCTGTTTCTGCTCTACACAGAATAAGCTACCTACTAAAGGCTTACCCCATTCTCAGCCCCCAACTCCCTCTTGCCCTCCACCTCATCATTCAGCTGTTGCTGCTTCATCATCTGTTGGTTCAGCTTCCTCTGCTGTTTCTTCTCAACAGGTACTCTATTAAGAGATTTTTAAAACCCAAACTTGTACTCAAGCTGCTTGAGAAATGGCTTGGATGGAAGGTGCTGCCAGCGGACCTGTTGTATGGGTCGTAATTCACATTTAAATCAAGCTTTCCTTTTTTGCTGTTAGTTCTGCATGTTTGTAAGAGAAATGTTGTCATCAGGTATGGCTTAGGTAAAAGCTGAAGAACAAAGCAAATGGTTAACATTTTTTTACTTCAATTCTGAAAATTTTGCATTGCTGCTTGTTTTAAATGATCTGCTGTAGGATGATACCACAGGCATGCTGAAGAACGCTTCCCATTATAAAGCAAACTGTGTGCTGTGGGGTTGGTTAGTTGTCTTGGGTGGAATTTATGTTTCTTTTCATAAGAATATCCATCTGCTCTGCAGGGGAAAACCTGCACAACACAATGATGGTTATTTTAACCCTGTCTTAGACTGGACATGTCTTAGAATTGTATGAGCATTTACCAATACAGACATTTTATTATTGTTTGTTTAATTACTAGTACTTTAAACTTGCTTCTGCATGTGAATAGGTAGAATACAGTTCTTTGTAGCAGCAGAACTTCTGGAAACATCCATACTTGGAAGGAAGGAGGTGACACTTGGGTCAGAGATACTCAGTTCTTCCTACTGAGGCTGATGCTCATGGGCTGTGTTGCAGTGACTGCCTGGCTCCCAGTCCCCAGGGAAATCCAGGGGACATGGCCCTTCAAGGACACTGCAAGCTCAGCAGGTGCCTTGCTGCAGTAATCCCCTAATTCCCTTCATTCAGCTTCAAAGTAATTCCTTTGCCTGGATTTACCTCTTACTTTTTATGAGCTAAGAGGTGTAGCATGTGATGGGTTTTAAGCTAAGTCATGGTTTCCAAAAGATTGGGAGCTGATGTTCATTTGATTTGGAGGACTATTGTGACTCTGCAAAGAGAATAAAAAAACCCCAAAACCCAAACCCAAGCTATCTGAAAAACCCTTTAGAACATGAGAACTAGGCTTTTAATCATGAGGAAACTCTGTGAGAAATAATTTCATTAGGATTTTAACATCACTTCTTGGAGAACCTTTGTCCTGACCAATCTTTTTTTCTGGATATTTTAAAAACTGGATTTTGTTTAAAGTGCACTGCCAGCCTTGATTAGTTTGCCTTTGTATTTAAATGGTGTGGCAATAGTTTGTTGTTACTTGGTTTCACTCAGGCTTTACTTCAGCTGAAAAGTGCTCTCTCTAGAGATACTGGTAGAATGCAGCTCAGCTGAAGCAAGAAAATCGAGTTCTGTCACCAGCACAGTAAATACACGTTCATCTCACTGGGTAAATATTTGGCTGGTTAAGCAGGACTACATTTACACTTTGGCAGATCTACATGCATGAGCATTTTGATGCCTGCATACCCAGCTCCATGTGCTGTACAGGCTGCCAGCCTCTTGTACCCTATGCATTTCATAGGTGTAAATGTGGTGCATTTTGTGTGGCATTTTAGAGAATTTTTAAACAGCAGTTCTAGTAATGACCAGGTGATCTTTGCTCCTCCTGTCAGGGGCACAGGTGGTAATAGAATCTGTCCCTGCCCTTTCACAGTCAAATTGTTGTCCCTGTGTTTTATCCTTACAGATTGCACACTTTTCAGAATGTGAAAATTTTATCCTGCTCTATAAAACACTGACTAAATATGCAGTACTATATAAATAAAAATTCAACAGTATTTCAGATGCACAGTGTGCGTTTTCAAGTGCTGTTCAACAATATGTTTGGACCTCTGCTGTGAATATGCCAGGAACTGCCTATGTCTCCATTATCTTGAGGAGGGGAATTATGGGTCTCAAAATTTGAATTTCTGCTCTGTGTTCTGAGAAGTACCATTAGCTGAGTGTAGACTTTAGTATCAGAAAGTGTTTTGGGATTGATAAACCGACAGGAACATCTGCTGTGTGTTGCTGTCAGTATTCCTGCTTTTTCCCCAGCAGACAGACAGAAGGTAACAGGAGTGTTTTGAGTTTTGTAAGGCTTCATGATATATGACCTATAAATATCAGCACCCTCCCATGGTTTTAAATAGCTAGTGCTGTCATTTAAATTTCAGGTGAGTTCTGAGCTTGTTACCAGACATGACAAACCATTGCACCTGTTCAGTTTTGCTTGGAACAGTGTTAGTTATGGGGACACAGTTATTGAGGAGGGTGGCTGTGAAATCATACTGTCTAATTACAGAAACTTGTTATTAAGTCTAAGTCCTGCAAGGAGCACTTGAAAAGAAGGCTGTGGGACTGTATTGTTCCTTTCAAGGCATGCAGTCATTGCAACTTAGTAAGAACTACCTTCTGTGTGCAATATGTCAATAATAATCAAAAGTACCTTCTAGCTTCAATCACCTGTCAAAATTCACCTAGCTAGAATAATGAGTTAGCCTATATTATATTACAGGCTGGGCTTTGGTTATTCCTGTTTTCTGCTCAAGGTTGGATTGACCTTCAGAAAACTCTGTTCATCTGAGCTTTGCATGAGTGAGTCCACACCGTGTGTCATAAGAGCTGGGAAGTTTTTGCAATCAATTTGCTCCCTGCAGAGCTTGGACCAACAACTTCCCTTCAGTGAGGTGACTCTAATTGCCAGCAGTAAGCAGGGCTGGGGTGTTTCCTACACACAGTAACTTATTACTCAAATGTTGTTTATCTCAGAGGGAAGATATACGTAACAGCTTGTACACAAAGTAAATAAATCACCCTCAAAGCAAAATAAGACCAGGAAAGTCATTAAGGATTTGAAAGAACAAAGGGAAAGCATTGTATGCTTTAGGAGGCAGAGAGCATAGTTCCTTTGTTTTATGAGAATGCTACTGAGGCTTACTTGGCTGGCTGTGCAGTTCTGAATAATAACACAGGGAAATACAGAAGGCAGCTTTCTCTTCCCATGGCAATAACCACCCTGGTCAACCTGCTGAAAAGCAGTGTGCACTGACAGCTCAACAGTCTGGGGAAATCACAAACTCCTGGGATTTCTAAGTGTTTTCTGCTTGTTCCCTGAAATTCACCGTGTAAGGTAACTGTTCAGGATTCCTGTTCAGCCAAGGCGTTAAAGCTGCTGGCATAAAGCTGCCTGAGCTGTGAGCCGGAGCCTGTTCCATGCACACAGGGGGCCCAGTGTTACCAAGCTGTGTGTGACTTCAGTAGAGGAGCAGCCTCAGGGGCACTGAGGACATTCTCTGGTGTCTCTGAGGGTGGTAGGTGCTCCTGGGGCTGCCCTGGTGGATCCTCCTGCTGCCCTGGTTCTTCTGGTTGGTGACTGAGTGGCACTGGTGCAGAACAGAGTAGTGCTCTTGGAAGGGAAGTACAACAAACATCTCTTGCCTGACCAAGTCAGGGCTCACCAAAAGTTAAAGCATGGTTTTAAGGGCATTGTTGCTAAATTAAAGTGAAATCTCACTTGCTTTTACTTGGAATGTGAATTCACATTTGTTATAGGAACATTTCCTTTTAATAGCATTTTTAAAGTGTGGATAAACATGCAATTTTTTTGTTTTGACTGCTTTAATGTTGACATAGGTTGTTCCAATGGAGGGAGAACAGAAATTAGCCAACCTGATGAATTTCAAGGTGTAGTTCAGGCTCAAGGATACTTTTCCTGAAATTCAACTACTTGCACTTTAAGCACAGCCTTGTTATTTAACTGATTGCTCCAGTATTTATCTAGTTCATGGAAAACTTTCTGCTTCAACTGACTTTGAACACTTTCTTTTACCTTGGATCTTGTGGACAAGAACTTATACATTTACCTGTACATTACTTGTACGTGTACAACATGGCCTCAGGATATTCAAATGTGCTCAGGATATTCAGAGGTGCAGAATTTGGGGAGGAAATTTTCTTTTGTTCTATGTTCTTAAAAAAATCAAAGGAACATAGTTTTCCTGTAGTAGCAAGTAGTACTTCTTGTAGGGATTTATAAATTGGTGTGCCACTTGGGACAGTGTTGTGGTATGTAATTAGCAGTTCACTTTGCAGTTGTTACCCACAAGTTGTCCAGATACTGAATGATATTTTAAAGTCTTTTTATACTAAATCAAACAGGAAAGAAATTTGTCCCGTAAATGGCCTTTGTAGTCTTAATGCGTATATTTTGTACCTGCCTGGTTATCAAGTTAATTATGAGCTAACTCTCAAAAGATAAGGGGAGCTGTAAAGGGTTGGCCATAGTCCCTTGAATTTTTTAACCCATAATAATTTTTGAGAACACACTCACAGTGCATTATAAGTGTTTTTAAACTTGATAGAAAATGCTTTAAAATTGTTTTAAAGTATTCCAAATACCATTGCATTTATATTTTTTTCATTTCTTCGTGGTAACTTTCTGGTATTTTAAAACCTTCAATTAGCAGGACTTGGTGGGGTGGCAGTAGACAAATTATTTCACTGAGAAGAGGGTGACTTCCTTGAGATTTGGGCTCTGTGAGAGGCAAATGGAGTGTTATATATGATACCATGTATCTATCCTCCTGGAAAAAAGCAGTGCCCTGAGTTCAGAAGCAGAGTACCAGACTGCTGGCCAGACCAGGATGGCCCTTGCTGCATTTGCTGCCAGAGAGGCTGTGGGATCTTACATTGACTGGAAAGCTGAAATCCCAATCAATTCAGGAAATTTGATTTAGAGCAGAAGATATTTCCGTAAATCTGCGAAGCCTTTACTGTCTGTTTTCTAGGAGCAGAGTACCTGCCTGCTTGCTGCTACTTGCACACTCATGCACAGACACTTCTCCCCTGTTCCAGTGCCCAGGCAGGGGTTTGGGCAGGGAAGCACACACCATGCAGTCATTGGTCTGTCTGCTGTGCATTTGGAGCCACAGCCTAAGCCACTGCTGCCTCCTTGCAGGCCTGGTTGATACATTTGGGTAAAAACAGCCTAATTTTCATGGCTGCAGCAGTGTGATGAAGCAGATTAAAGGAGAAGTTTCCCTCTCATGAGTGTGGTTTCTCCAGTTCTCCCTGGCATTACCATGAGTCACTGGGGAAAGGGCAAATGGTTGCCCTGTGAGCACCAACAAAACATTTCTGTGTGGGACTTGGCTCATACATTTTCATAGAATGTTCCCTGAAATGTCACAGTTTGGGGAGTGTTAATATGGAGTTCAATCCCACCCCCTGTTCTGAAATGTTACAACCAAGTCCCAGAGAAGTTGAAGTGAACAATAGGGGTTTTTTTAATGTCAGCATGTCCTGCTCAGATAGCCAGGCAGTGGCTCCCAGCTCAGCCTTTCATGGACACAGCAGGAAGCCTTGAGGAGAAGCATTTGCTCCCACCAGGATCTTCTCAGTCATCCTCAGGGAACAGTCTGTGGGCTGCACAGAAGCCTCCTGTGGCCCCTCGCTGGTCACGCATGAACATGCTTGTGCTCCGCTGGGCTTCCCCTCTGCTCTTTCTCCTGCCTCCCTGTATCGATGTTTGCATGTGCCCAAATCATTCTTGTCCTTTTTTGTCTTTAAATTCTCTTTCAAGGGTAACTAAAGCTCTTCCTTCTATTCTTCATCTTCCTCCCTTTCCTGGTTAGATGACTGTAGGAAAGGTCTCACGTGCAATTGGAGCTGTGGCTGAAGTTCTTGTAAATCTGTATGTGAATGATCACAGACCCAAGCCACAGCTTGAACTGGTAAGACTAAACCAACAAAGAAACAGTAACTTGACTTAAGAGTAATGTTCCCAGAATGCCATCCTGACTTAAGACCCCAGATGTGGAGCACTTGAAGGTCTAACACTTTATGAAAAGTCTAACACTTTATGAAAGAATCAAGTGCACATCAGCACAATGTTCTGATGGGAATGTTGCTCTCCACGTCTTCCATTTCTATTTCTGTTCCTGAATTAAAACTTCAGGAGGCTTTTATTAAATGTAATTACTGTAGAATTAGTAACAGAAGACAATTATTACTCAGGGTGGCTTCTAAAGAAAGTTTTGTGCAGTACATACTTATGCAGTTATTTTTAACGCTCGAGTGCTGAATCACTGTGCCTCCTTTTGAAGAGGGCTGTTTCTCAACTCTGACACTGTTCTGTGTTGAATTCAGAAGCGGTCTCTGGACAGAGCTGCAGGTTCTTGCCCCATTCCTCACTTTCCATCTGCTGCCTCCACCACTCAGGGCTGTCAGGTACTGGGAAGCCAAGTAAGGTGTTGTGTTGTGCTGATGGCACTTTACTTACCAGCCAGCACTAAACTCAGTTGTTTCAGCTTCACTTTAACTATCTGATCTATTAACACCATGGTTTTACAAGCACATCTGTGTGGTTTTCCATTTGCATGGTTGTTTGTTTGGAAAGATTCATGCTCTAAATTATCCATCAGAGCAAAATGGATTACTAATGGCAGATCTGGAATAGAATTCTCAACTTTTAGGCACAAGACTACATGACAATGACAACTGTGAGTTCTACTTACCATTAAAAAATGGTTCCAAGGCTGCCTTTTGCTCACAAATGGAAGATGAGTTGTGTGGGCTGTGTGCTACTGTCTGAATGTGCCTTGGACTTTTCCTCCTCCATGCCACATGTGGTACCTCTCCTGTGGCAGCGGGGATAGTGGAAGGGGAGGGAGGTGGTGATGGATGTGGCAGGCACAGCACGCTCACCTGTACTGACCTGTACCCAACCATAATACAGTAATGCAAAGTAACACCCTCATACCTGCCTCTAATAAGAAAAGGAAAGTCCAGTGGCATCTAATCAATTTCTACTTCACTTTTCTGTACCTTTTGCACGTGTATGTAAGAGGGGATGAAATTTGTGGCAATTCAAGAATGTTCATTACCAGCCTAATTGCAGCAAACTTTCAAAATAGTTTCATGTGGTTAATATGGATTGTATTTTGAATGCATTAAAAATGTTCTGAATGTGTATGGTGGGAAAGCAAGTGATTTTTAAAGCTAACCAAGCCCCAGGTTGGGCTGTGGTCTCAGGAGGAGCATGGCTGAGAGGGGAGTCAGGGCTGTGGCCATGGGAAGGGTGGAGCGTTTGAAGACTGCTTTTCCTCCTGGAACTTAAAGCACAAGCCTGCATTTTCCTCCAGATTGTGTCTGAACTGAGTTCAGGGTGTTTTTTTGCTTGGCTGCAGATGCAAGTCTGCTGTTTGAGGCTGGTGAGGTGTGTCTTCACCTTCTGAGGGAGACACGAGTCCTGGAGCCAGGACGGTGCAGGGTGATGACGGAGCACTCAGGGATGATGCTGCTCTTGGACCTGAGTAATCCAAATGTTGGTGAACTCCCAGAGGGAAACTGGATGCAAGTCCAGCATCAAAGTCACCCCTTTAAAGTCCTTGTGATGTCTGATTTATTAATTTCTGCATAAACCTACAGAATTGGAATAATGAGTAATTAAAAAGCTGACTGATGCTTACTGTAATTTTGCTTGGAGGTGCTGTGCAACCCTTCAAGAAGCTAAAGCAGCTTCCCCCTTCATAAGGATTTATATCTGGGTGTGGAGCCACAACTTTATGTTCTGTTTTTATCTTTGACCAGGGTTCTCTGCGAAAAGAATTCCCCAAGTCCATTGGGGGCAGTGACATCTGCTATTTCTGCAAGAAACGGGTCTATGTCATGGAGAGGCTGAGTGCAGAAGGCCACTTCTTTCACAGGGAGTGCTTCAAGTGTGAAATCTGTTCTACAACACTCCGCTTAGGAATTTATGCCTTTGATGTTGAAGAAGGTAATGGAGGAGCTATTTAGGAGTATTTTGAAATGTCTGAGATTGGTGCTCTTGCTGGAACTGAGGAGAAAGATCTGTCTCGGTAGCACGGTCAGGAGGAGGTCTGCCAAGTGTGCTGTTTGTGTCCCTGCTGATCTTTGAGTCCCTGTGCATGCAGTCCTAGTTTTTCAGAAGAGTTGAGTTATGACAGACCTGAGCTGTAAATGAAGAAATCCTCAGTGGAAAATAAGTTGAATGACCAAAATGCAGTTTGTCGAATCACAGGTCAGAGTAAGGGAGGGAAAAAAGGGGTGAGGTTTCTCCAATAATATAAAGTTATTCTTATCTCCATTCAAAACTGGCCATTAAATAACATGATCTATAATGACAAGCCATAACAGTGGCAGATTTACATGGATGCAGGGAATGTAGGTTATTTCTGTTACAGTGTTATGGTCAGGAGTTGAAAGCAGTAGGACTGACCAAGCACAGTGTGATTTATTCCAGGCTCCAGGCTGCTGTAGAACAAGAGGTTCAGATCTTGGGTGCTTCATCCCACCTAAATCCTGGGGGTTTCCTTCTTTTTTAAGTTTAGAATGGAGTTATCAAACTGAATTGAAATTCCCTGTCCCTTCCAAAGTACTTCAGCAGATCAGAGTATTAACCTGATGTCCCTCCTCAAAAATACTAAAGATTCAAGGTCAAAGTGGTTCTTTTTCAGTGTGGAGATTCGAAAAGATGTCTTTTGAGCAGATTATTGACTTTTTTTTTTCTGCTTGATGTCTTGTATTGGTTTGTAACTTTGTATTTATGGGATGTTGTTTTTTTGCTGTTTATAAATCTTATACCTGAGAGGTAGATAAATGACCTTGTGTTACTGAACTAATGTGTGCAAATCTGTAAAAGAAACCTATTCAGAGGTGTTAGTCAGAATCAATGCCAGGTTTCCCTTTCCTTTTGCCACCCAACTGTTCATTATCCTGGTTTCATTTTTTTTTAATAGATGCAACAGTGATTTTTCACTCCATATATGTATAGATAACCTATCCTGTAACTGATGATTTTTCCCTCTTGTAGGTAAATTTTACTGTAAACCTCATTTTACGCACTGCAAAATCAGTACGAAACACAGAAAGAGAAGGGCAACAATACAGATCCATGGAAAGGTATGGAGAGATTTTATTGCCAATGCAATGCTGAGGCACCTTTATCTGGGGCAGGGTGAAATCCATGTGTGTGTGTGTGGATGTTTTCTACCTCATGTGCAATAAAATCAGTGCTAAAATACAAACCTCCTCCTTCTGTGAGTTTGGCCTATCTATTAATAACCTGGTTCTCAATGGAATTTAGCTTTTCTATGCAAAGTAAAGTTGAACATAGGAGCAACTGGAAATGAAAATGTACATAAAGACTTGAAGACAGTAGCAGAAACTGGACTTAGATCCTTCAGAAACATATTTAACACTTTTTATTTTTTAATGCTTTTCCTAAGGAGGCGATAGATGCGTGGAAGAAAGCGGAAGCCAAACCCACAGAGATCACCACAGAAAGCAGTTTGTCCACTGCTAGCAGTCCAGAGGACAGGTCCCCAGGTATCCTGACTTCCTTCTTGGGGGGCACGCTAAGCTGGCCCCTGCGGGTGACCAGGGATCTGCTTGACATTCCCAGCCGCCTGTCTAACTGGATGCATGGTTTCCTGCACGCTACCCACCTCCATTTCAGGGACAATGCATATAACTATACCTACCTGTACGAACTCCTGAGCCTTGGGGTGCCACTCCTCTGTGCTCTCCTAGAGGTACTCACTCACATGTACCGGGAAGCAGAGCTATCACTTGAAAACGTGCTTGAATGGGTGAAAAGATTCTGTAGGGTTTGAATCTTTCTGTGTGTCTTGCTCAGTTGTGCCTTTCAAATTTTCAAAATTAACAGCCTGGCTATTTTCTCGAGGGAAATTTTTGGTTTGGAGGGCTTTGTTTTTGCTCTTCGTGCAATGTGACGCATGACTTCATTGAACGGTGGATTCCTTCTGATAGAAGCGAGGTACAATTGAAATTTTCAACACAAAATGTACTGTATGTTAGAGCATGAAGGACAGTGTCCAAACACATTTCTAGAACATGGAGTCAGATGAAGGATATTTTCTAGATTATTTTTCCCCATTTTATTCTGTGATCAGACTGTTGGAGAAGATGGTACATTTTGAAACCGTTTTTCTTCCTTTTCTGCCCAGCTTATTTTTTTCTTTTTTCAGTTAGACCATGAAAAAATATGTGTTCTTTCAGGAATATTTCTGACAAATGGCTGGGATTTGATACCTGAGTAAAGCACATAGCTTTTTTTTCTTCTTGCTTTCATCTTTGCTCTAGGTTATGAGATTTTTACTTGCGTTAATATGTTTCAAAAAAATAGTTTACATAATTCACATTGCTTCAAGTCAAATGCCTTTTACATTGCTTTACATGTGATGGATACCTTTTGTTGATAGTGGGTACTATCTGTTCTACTAATTTATTTGAAGTTTTTCAATAAATTTGAAGAGCAAATGATAGTTGAGTGAAGACTTGATTGAAATTTTAAGTCAAAGAAACTGGTAGAAAGAAGTAGGCAGAACATTCCTCAAGTCAAGGCTTCCTCATTTGGTGGCTGATATGAGGCATATCAATTTATGGAGCACTCCTCTGTAAGTGAAGTCACTCCTGTTGTGCCTCTGAGCAGGCACTGCTCCCAGTCTCTTCTGGAATTTTTTAAAAATGCAGGTTTAGAACAAACATCAAAAGCCAAAAAATGTATTCTTAAGCGATAACTTCTTACTTGGGTAATTCATTTCAATGTGTGCAGCTGGTGGCAGAAAGGTGAAATTCTAATTTCTGGAGCAGCAGATGAGTAAATTTCTTTCAGATGTCCCTCAACCTTAGACTAGATTCAGAAGGCCTACCTTAATCTGTTAAACAGCAAGGACACAGTGACATCCCAATGCTCATTACTTTCAGCCGAGTTAGCCAGCGAGGTAAGCATGCTCCCTGCCTTTCAAGTACTTATTTATATTCAGAAGGTTACCAGGAAATAGGTAAATCCAATATGTGTAGCCTAAAATGAAAAAGCATCTGTAGCAATTTTTGTAGCCAGAAGAATGTGGCATAAACAATAGGAAATACTGTTGCATTCAGTTAGTACCAAAATTGAGGATCACCTGCCAGTGGTCTCAAATGACAGTGCTGCCTATGGGCTGGCAGGCCTTGGGGTTTGTTTTGTTTTGATTTGATTTGATTTCCTATAATGTGGGAAAAGATGGTTTGAATTGTTTTGCCTCTTAGGTATCAAAAGGAAATGTGTCTGCTGTTTAAAATAAATGACAAACTGGATCTTCCTTCTAGATAGTTTGACTTTCTTTAAACTATGAGGATGAGCTTTCCACATTTTAGAGTGATTATGTATTTTGGGGTAAAAATTGTTATTTTTATGCACAGAACTTGAAAAAGTGCTTGAAGAAAATTATTAGCTATAAGGTAGCATTCCTTTGACAAAAATTGCCTTTAATGCTCAAACATGTATTCAGCCAAACCTTGCTATGACATTGAGTGGACGCAGCAATAATTACAGTTACATGGTGGCCATCTGTATATATGTAATGTATCTGTACCTTTCTTACAGCATTTAAAAAACCTGACCTGGAAACACTGCACTATCTTTAATTATTTTCTAATGATAGAAGCTGTTTCACCCTAAAAAGGAGGCAGTCTGCAGTGTAGTTACTCCTGCAGCACAGCAAACTGCTGGGCGGTCGAGTTTCCAAATTTGGGCTGCCATCAATTTTGGTTTCAGTTTGTCAATAGGAGAGTCTTTAGGAACACTTCTTCCTAAAGTTTTCTCCTGCTGTTTACTATGGCAGAGAGAGCATAAGGGTAAACGTAGGGAAAATGGTGATGTACAAGATTTTTTTGTACAAGATGTAGAAGATTTCCAAGAAACTTGGAAATCTCTGGCCAATGAACTTAAAACCAAATGAATCTTACTAGTAGAAAGTGTAAAAACAAGATTAAAAAAAATGGTATTGATTTTATACAGATTTGTATAATGGGGCATAAATCCCTACATTTCCACAACAGAGTTCAGGAACTTGTGTAATGAAAATGTTTTCCTGAGGAATCTTAATTACCATGCATATTCCACTGGGATTTTGCAGATGATTCTGTTGGGAGGGTTATTTTATTGGTATTAGTCCAATTGCTTGATTTTTTGACTTCTTCATCTTACTGTTCTGCTAGTAATACTCATACCTGCTTGTCCTCATTGATAATTGAATGAAAAAAGGCAGTTCCATTTTGGCCAGTTATTTTTTGTACCAATGTAATCTTCCTGATGCTTTCCTACATAACCAAGTGAAGTTCTGTGTTTTCTTCCCTGCTGTCTTCTCTGCCAATCTCCCTCATTGCTTTTAGTCCAATTCAACATTCCGGTGCTGCACCCGCTCACTGGCTGAAGCCTTTCTGCTCTCAGGTGATTTTTTTTCCAGTTCCAAAATTACATGACTAACCCTGTTGTTTGAAAGCATTTCATTGTGTGTTCTTGTTTTTTGTTTTTTTTAACTGTTGGAGCAATCTGTGTGTCTGGTATATTAATGGAGCTTTGGCATGATTATTTAACCTGTTGCTGAGTTCGCAGTTCTAGAAAAAGTAATGTTTTTCTCTCTGTGTCTGTGCATGTGCGCTTCCCTGTGCCTTTAAGGTAAGTTAGGCAGTAAAGGGTTTCTTGAAAGAACTTGTTAAAGGCTTATTTCTTTCAAAGAACTGAAGGAAAGATCTAAAATAAGGTCAGGGTGTGATTGCCCAGCTGATTCTCTGGGTTAACATGAGCACCTGTTTGCACTGAGCTCACACACCCAATGAGCAAGCAGTGTCTGAGCACGTCCCTGCTTTCCTACTGGAAAAGTGTGGTGTAAAAGGTTCTGTAGGCAACGTAGCCTAAACTATGCAAGTTCTAGTCTTCCACCCCAAGTGACATTGTAGACAGGCCTAAAATTGACTGTTATTTTACATAGTAACATATGTCATAAAGGTAATAAGTTCAAAGTGCATGTGGTTCTCAGGCTGAACATGTACCAACATGCCAGAGTGCTTTGGTTTGGGCGGTTTTATTGCCTGGGCCTTGCCTGGCACTCTGATGATTGGGTTTCTCTTGCTGCACGAGACGTTGCCGCCCCTCTCCATGACCAGCTCCCCCCATTGTTTTGTGTCTATTTTTTACATAAGGTCCAGTTTGTATAATCACTAGGTGACAGTCTAGAAGGGGAAATGAAACCCAGCAGGAACCAAGGGCTCAGGCTGACCAGCAAGTCCACTGAGGGTCTGGCTGATGTAGTCATAACCCAGCTGTCCCTGCCATGGACCCCTCTCAAAGGGAAGGGCCTTTGGGAATTGATCTTAGGAGCAGTTTTAGGAGGGGCCAGACATCCTCTGCCATCTGCTCCATTTCACACACCTCAGCCAGGAAGGTGGAAGGCAGCAGGGCCAGAGCCCTTACCTTGCTGGTCTGCACATTTGCACGACTCAGCCACTTGTATTTATTTGTGTGGGTATCCTAAAATGACTTGATGGCTCTGAAAGTCCCCACGCTGTGCCCACACAGAATCTCTCAGTGTTTCAAACGCCATTTCCTGCACAACTGGCTGGGATGTGACTCCCAGTGTATTTCAGGGCTGCAGTGTGTTGTTACAAAGCTCAGCATGCTTTAATATGAAGGTCATGACATAAAGGTCTGCCATTTCAAACCACTTCCTATTGCTGTGTTTTTTACTCTCTGTTGCAGAGTCTTCCTTGCTCTTCCTGCTCAGTGAGGATTCTGTCCTTCTCCTCCTAAATCTTCTGTATCCATTTTACTTTATAATCTTAACTGAATATTTTTATTAAATAGTTTTTAACTCTGTATTTAAATTTTCACATGGAAATTCTGTATTTTGCACATGGTGAAAATTGTTTTAGCTTTATTTATGATATCTGCTGTAAACAAAAATAAATGTAGTTCTTTATAAGTCTCCTTGTTTCATCTCTTCCTTTTACAAAGATTTCCTGGGTACAGAGACTTAGTGACTTCACGCTGGTTTTGCACCTTCCTCTTGTGGTGGATGCTGTGGTGTTACCCTGCTTGTGGCCCGAGCAGAGGCCCCAGAGTTTCCCTGTGGTGGTGTCTTTGCATGTGTGTCCCTTGTGATGCACATCAAGGTCCCTGAGGTGTTGTCCAGGGTGACTGGTGCTGGGATTTACCCTTCCTGGGAATGAGGAGCTGGTGTTGGTGGGCATGGGGCACACACAAACAGCACTGTCCTCCTCTCTTTGGCCTCTGCTACCTTTCCTTACAGTTATTTTACATATTAACATATGTCATAAAGGTAATAAGTTAATGTGTTTGGATTTTTTGTTGTGTTCAGGAAAAGCAGGTAATAACCCAGGATAAATCTTTACCTTTGCTATTTGCTCAGGAGTGCTCTTCCCAGTACCTGCTGGACCCCTGGAAGCTGAAGCTGGTGGTGACCCATTGCCTGTTAACAGTTGCCTTGCTTTATTTAATTACTCTTTTAAAATTTTATTTTAATTTTTGTATTTTAAGCTGGTGGTGGAATTCTTTTTAAACAGCAGGTTCTCCAAAAGAACTTTCCTAAGTCTTCCTCCTCTTCATGTTCTTTCTTTTGCCTACTCTGCAATTCTTAAGCTATAATCTCTTTGCATTTCAAGAAAAAACCCCCAAACAAATCCCAGAAAGACTAGTTCCAAGAGTTTAATGGAAAGATTGTGTGGTTTTATTTCTTTTCTTTAATGAATTAAAACTGAACCTCACTGGGGTTGTTTGAATGACAGGAATGATTTTTTAAAAATTGTTGCTAAAGACAACATCATTGCCAAAGAAGAGCAAATGTTATTCTCTATGAACTAGTCCATCTTCCTGCCAAAGGAAAAGCCACCAGGCACAGTTAAAAGTTTGCTGTCCAAGGGGAAGATGGTATCCATTATGAAAACATGGGGCAACAAATACCACTGAGGACAATACTTGGCACTTGATTGTATCAGACAAAGCAACTGGGGTAAAACTGAACTTGCTCTTTGCACAGTTTACAGTTTTAGGCCGAGGCAGTGACAGGGAAACATCAGAAGAGCATTTTTGCTTGCAGAAGGTGATGATTTGTGTGGCACTGAAGCGTTGAGAGGCATCAGCTGTTCGTGCTGTTCTCATAAAGTTTCACTCATTCCTGCTGAAATAACAGTGCAATAACTTGGAACTGGGGTAAATAACCTTAGAGCCTGGGTTTATTTCTCCCAGAGGTGCAGAAGGCCCAGGCAGTCACATCACTAGGCAATCCTGTCAGCAGGGGCATCACCTTGCAGGAGACAGCCCATGCACTCGTGGGCAAGGCAGGACACAGTGTGTGGATAAGAAATAAAACAGACAAAATGATCAGCATGAGAGGAGGAAATTTGTGTTGGTTCCCTTGCTCTTGGTCAAAATTATTACACAATAAAGCCACACATTCCCTGTTTTGCTGCTGGTGGTGCTGCTGAAGGGAGAGCCTGGTGGGTTAAGGGCTGTGTGAATGTAACAAGCTGATTTCAGACTCCTTTTGCCGTGTGAGCAGAGCTCCCTGTGAGCAGGAGACCTGCATCTTCCTGCTGCTGTGCCCTGGAGCTCTCTGCAGAGCCTGGGGTGCTCCCAGCCCCAGGGCTGTCAGCAGTGCCCCAGAGCTGGGGGCTGTGTCCCTCTGCAGAGCCCAGGTGTTCACATGAGAGGCAGGCAGGCTGCTCCTTGGGGCTCACCCACAGCCCCTGCTTTGGGAGCAGGGAACACCAGTGCCTCTTTGCCCAGTTAATGCCCTCTAAGACCTGATGGCACAGATGCCATTCCCGCAGGAAAAGGGCAGAGGTGACACTGGCAGGCTCAGGAACTGCTCTCTTTCCTCCTCTTTACACTGCTTCAGATGGGTTCTGAGCTTGTCTGTCGCCACAAGGGCCATTTGGATTGAAAATAAGTACAGAGATGTGCCTATTTTCTTTATTAAATTTCTTTTTTTGAAAAGCCAGGCTAACCTTTCATTCTCAAAGCCAAGCAGCATTAGCTGCCTAGGTGTCTGTTAATGAAAATCAAACATGTCAGCATTCACTAAAGGTAACCCACCTTTATTATAATTGTGCTAAGCCTTTAAAATTAAAAAGATCTTGCAGGTTTTAAACATATTTGATTTGAATAGAAGAATACAGACAAAACTTCTGAAAATTGCTCAAACTCAAACACCAGCCTTTCATTAACTCTACCAAGAAGAGTAATTTCTGCTCCTCTGAGTTTCTTCTAAATTGCTACAGCTGTAAATGCCAGTGAAAGTTGCTTCTGTGTGTCTTCCAACCTCAAGCAAAGACTATGATCTGCATTTTTTCCACAGCATCATGGCAATTAGTTACTATAATTGGCTTTAATTCACTTCTGGCTCACTCATTCCTCACATTCCAGTCAAAACATTGAGTTTTGAAATGCACTGAGTTCTGCATTAATATTTATGTTTTCGAAGACATGACATGTTTGCAGATGACTTGGTTTTTTTTATCTGTCACTGAAGATAAGAAGACATTATGTATTAATGCCTGGTGCAGGTATACATACTAGTCATGTAAATATTTCTCCAAGTTTCTTTCCTTTTCTTCATGAACTGTGCTCACATAAAAAGAAGGGAGGCTTTAATCTCATCAGGTGGTGGGCTCCAAACTTGTTTGAAATGGATGGAATTTCTGAACTGTTTTTTTGAAATGTGAAATGATGAAATTTCTGTGTTGCTATAGTATTGAATTTGCCCTCTTAGCATTTGTTCTGCAGGTATTCATTCATTCATATCTTTAAGGTTTTTAGTGCTTTGAATCTGTGTCCAAAAATACTATTTTGACGGACACTGGAAACTGAAGGTGGTGTTGCTGCACTCCAAATTCATAATTAATACCTGCCTTAATATACCAGACTAACACAGATTGCTCTAATTAAATATATATTTACTCTAAAATGATAGAAGTAGTGTGCTATCACAGCAGGTTTTGTTTGAGAATCAATTTTTCCTAAAGACACGTATTCAGTATATCTAATAGGTTTCTTCTAAGTTGTTTTTTCCCTCCTTTGTTAATTTTTGTTCAGTTTGTATTATCACATAAATGTGCACTGTCCCCTTGGATGCATTAAAAAATCATGGCAGTCTCTGGCTGGCTCTGAGAGCTCCAGATTCCATGGTTTTATTTTGTGCCAGAATTCAGAAGTGTTTGTTTACGAAGTAGGTGATGGAGACCTGGAGAAAGCGTTTTGCTGCTGAGGAGCTTGTGTAGGTGCTGGCATGGGCTCACAGGAGAGGGAGGAGAGATGGTCTCCTGGCATGGGGACAGGAGGAGGGGGCTCATCCCTGCATCAGGGATGGAGAAGAGGTGGCAGGAAAGCCTCTGTAGGCAGTGGTGGTTGGAAGGCAGGCAGCTGATCTGACGCTCAGTGCCACCCCATGGATAATGGGAGCAGCAGTTCCCTTCACTCTTTCCCTTCACATGTTGGCCACAACAAAGTGGAAATTGCTTCTGTTAGAAGTATGAGGAGGAGGAAGAGGAGATGTGGCAAGAACTGAAATCTGTGAAATGTCAGCTATCCTACCTTTTGTAAGAATCCTTTTCCAAGGGCAAAAACCTCCCTGGTGGTATCTCAGGTGAGATGAAAAGTCGAAGTTGGGACAGGACATCAGTTGGGAATGCTGCTGGAAGCTTGATAGCCTCCTAAGGCAGATCTGTGGGACACCTCAGTGGGATGTCTTCCTTCAGAGTTTCCAGCTGTGACAGAGGCAGTGCTCCCATGCAGCCTTGTGTGTTCTGAGCTCAGGCTGCAGGATGCAGCTGAAGCTCTGACAGCTCTGAGCTTGGGTTTCACTCATGTGGGCTGCTGAGCCCTGAATTTCAGCAACAGCAAGGTCTAACCAAGCTGGAGGTGTTTTCCCATTCCCTCTGCCAGTCCCACGTGGGCTGTGCTTTCCTGGACAGTGCTTTCTGCTCAGGACCTTGCCCCTGAGCTCACCGGGTCCGTTTCAGCTGTGCTTGCTCAGCTCTGCTGTTGCCACACCTTCCTTCTGTCCCCACAGCTCTCCTGAAGCGCTGCTGTTTTGTAAGCTGGACTCAGATTGCTTTTTTGGTTTATTGCACAGTGAGAAGTCAGGCAGTAAAGCGGGCTGGGTGTGCTACAGATCAATTTGTGGTCTGCTGACTGATGCCGGTGTGTGATGCCAGCTGGTGTTTGCTTTCACCATCAGAGCTGCCCACATTTGTGAGTGACTCCACTTCAGAGCTGCCCAGTGCTGTCAGTGCCTGAGTCAGCAGCTCCATACAAGGCCAGGCAGGGTGCACTTGCCCTGTGGATGAGTGATGAGGTGGCAGTGCAGTGGCAGGCCAGGAGCCTCGGGGTTGCCAGCGGGGAACGCAGGATGCCAGTGAGGCTGGAGCCTGGAATGGGGGCCCTGTGCTGTGTGGGGCAGCTGCACAGCAGGGAGGGTGAGCCCTCTGCCAGCCCTGGGTGCCAGGCACCCACACCCTGCTGAGCAGAGCAGTGCTCTGTGTTTTGGTGGTGCCTTTCAGCTGGGGACCAGGAGGCCCTGTGCCAGTGCTGAGTGGCTGGGGCTGTTTGGGTGAGTACTGTTGTACTGTTCCTGCTCCACAGCCTCAGGGTGTGCCACAGGTGGCACAACAGCACATCCCCACTGCAGGCTGGGACAACTTATTCAGGAGGTTTCGTTCTTCCTCCCTGTCCCCCAAACAAGGCCCACAAGGAATTATTTCTTGTCTGCTTTTCCACAGCTTGGAGCAGGGGTGGAGCTGTCTGCCCTCAGGGCAGCTGTGGCAGGGTCCCCTTTCACTGCCAGCAGCAGGGAGGGATAATTCCTTGTCCCCTCTGAGGGCCCTGCCGGGGCATCTCCACTTGGTCAGCCCCCAGACCTTGTGTTTGGTGTGTGGGGACCCCCAGCCTGGGCAGATCAGGAGT